GAAGTATAATATAATTTAAATAGTACAAAAAACACATTGCAGAAGCTTATTGTTTGAGAGAAGCATAAAATGTGCTACAATCGTTCGTTTTTATATAAGAGCATAAAATTGAGCCACATAAAATGTCTTATTAAATGATAAGGTCAGGATAATGAAAAGATAGCAAAAGATCTTTATAATTTTCTTATATACCGCATATATATATATATATATATATATATATATATATATTTCAATTTCAGCTAAGGATTTTAGATAATCATTCATTATGAGATTCAATACTGTACACTTCTTAAAAAATCACGATCATAAATCTAAATTATAAATTTACCTGACATGTACTAACTAGAATTTTCAAGAAATGATGTTAAACTTTAATTTTTAAGTATAATCTCTTTTTAGAAAACTGGCTATAAAATTTGAATAAAAACGCAGTTCTGTTTCTGATAAAAGAAAATGAGCTGCATTAGAAACATCAGCGAGTGAAATGTCCCAATGAGCATCGTTTTCTAATGCCACTGTCTTTAAATTTTGAAACAGAATATATATATATATATACAGTAGAACTCCAATTATCCGAACTCCGACTATCCGAACTCCAATTATCCGAACTCCGACCATCCGAATCGCCGATTATCCGAATCACTTTCAGAAAAAAATTGTCCAAAAAAAGTCTAAGTGCGCTATTATTCTTCCACTAGCAAAGCCAGTGTAGGCACATTGTTTGTTTTGATTTGACGGAGATGTTTACAAAACAATGATTTTTATTTCTAAACTTGTACATTTTTAACTCGTTTAAGTACATTTTATTTATATTTAAATCATGTGAAAATGTCATGTTTCTTTCATTTAATTCAATAAAAAAATAGTGCAATATCAAAACGTTTTTTGATATGCAATATCGAAACTTTTTTTCTCTCCAATGGCAATTTTTTAAAAAAACTCCGATTATCCGAATATTTGATTATCCGAATGGGTCCCGGTCCCCATTAATTCGGATAATTGGAGTTCTACTGTATATATATATATATATATATATATATATATATATACTAGCAAACCCGACAAAATCCGTTTCGCCACCAGATGGTTTCGTGAGAAAGATGAAGATTTTTTTTTTGTTTTATGTTTAAAAAGGAAAAATTTGATTTTATTACACAACAGTAATAAATTTATTTCGATTACAAAAATGAAGTGTTTTTTAGTTGAAATTCTCTAAGTAAATGAAAGTGAATCCGCAAATTATCCTTTTCATTGAAGTGCTCTTTGGTAAACCACATTTTTTGTTTTTTGGTCTGACGTTAACACAAACAAAGCGGATGGTTTTCCAACTCGTGAACAGGCAACGTATAACTGCCCATGTGAAAAATAATGATTTTCTAAATCCATTTGAAATTTATCCCGCAAACACTAAGCGATTGGCCTTGCGACTTGTTATTGCGAACGCAAGGCAAATTAGAAATTCGTTTGAAGTCAAACGGAAGACCAGTCGGAATCATTGGTATGTCACCAAATCGCCAGCAATTTTTGATTGAATGGTGAAATTCAGTGCGTGTACAACATTATTCTTTGCGGCAAGAATTGCTCGTTGACTTAACCAAGCATAATTCTGAATCGCCAGCAATTTTTGATTGAATGGTGAAATTCAGTGCGTGTACAACATTATTCTTTGCGGCAAGAATTGCTCGTTGACTTAACCAAGCATAATTCTGATAATTTTCACTAATGTCATTACTCGAATTTTTAATTACGGTGCATGAAGTTCCAGCAATTTGCATTAAGGCACGATTGTCGAAATCGGTTCGTGCGTTTTGGGGTTATATCGTCAGGAAGAAAAACCCGACATATATATATATTTATATATATATATATATATATATATATATATATCAATTATTTGAATAAGTTTGAGTTGTCCAATAAGTTATATTTTCAATAGTTCAGGTGTGATATCAATAAAAGATAAATTGTAAAAAATTATCAATAAAATCACATATAATATGCTATATTCATTTATATACGATAATTGTATATTCTGCCGACCTAAATAAGTATTTCTTTTTTTTAAACAGTATTTAAATTACACTTTAATTATCTGGAGGGCACCATGTCCAATTGTGCTCTACATACGAAAACGGGCGCGGCGGGAGTTCAGAGTTGAACAGGTTTTGGTAATATTCAATTTTTATTTATTTTATTTTTCAAACGAAAAGTTCAAACCACTTCGTTCAGATAACCTAAATATCGGAACTCGTACGAAAGCGCAAGTGAACTTGCGAGAATATGAGAATAAAAATACCAACGCGACGTGTGTTGTATAAGACGCTTATGAGCAATTTGTTTATGAATTATTTTACGATAATGTCAAATACACTTTGGATTTAATTTAATGCGTAATTTACATAACGAAATACTAAAACACTAAAGTTATAAAGTCTCTAATGATTCATATTGCCTGTAGACAAAATGCAACTTTGTAAAAGCTTAGGTGAGGTAATATATATATATATATATATATATATATATATATATATTGCAAACAATCCAAAAATATCAAAATATAATTTTCCTAAGTATAAAGAACATTGTATATTTTTTTGTCTTGGGTATTCTTTTAATTTTTTTAATACTACTTCAGATGAAATGGGCAATTCATATAAATACTGTTTGATTTCATAATGAATAAATTATAATGATATCCCAAATATAAGTTTTGCCATTATTTCCCACAAATTTTCCAAGCTTTTCATAAAAAAGATCAATCAGTATTTGACAAGGAAAATACATAGTTAAAAACGTGTACCGGCTCGCGAATAGAATTTTTATATATTCATAATTCAATTGTACCACAAGTAGGATATAAACAAAAAAGTGATTAATTGTATCTGTAACATTTGAATGACAGTGTTCTTTGTGTCAAAACAATTCAAACCATATATTTATTATTTTCAGAAAATATGTTCGATTTAATAAATGAAACTAGCTTTCTTGAATATTTTATCTCTCAAGAATCAATTCGAAGATAGAACTGGGTTCGGATAGTCACCTTCGTGTAAAAGAGCCTTCCAATATAAATAGAATGTACCTACTACAAATTTATAAAATCTATGAAACAATACCTTTTAAATAAAAAAGTTCAAAGTATTTATCAAATGTATAACTACAGTATATTATTTAATCAGATTACTGCTATTATTACTACGTGAAAGGCTCACTTACAGCTTGAGCTAATGTAAACGTAATGTCAACAATTAAACTAATTAAATGTAGAGTTACATTTACTGTTAGCATAGTTATTAAATCATTCGTGCCAATAAATAATATAGTAATTAGCAAAGAAATAAAGATACGCCAAAGATTACTTACAAGAATAAATGTTTCGCACATTATTACTATTTTTAGTAATACGATAATAATAATAATAAAAGTAGAAGTAGCAAAGATTAAAATAATAGATTTGTAAAAATAAGTCATTTATACATATATAGTAAATCGACAAAAATAATATTGAAACATTTACCAAAACTTTACAAAATATTTCAGTTTTTCCTATAAAAAAATATGTAATAATTCTTTACGATATGTTGCTAGCACCTATAGTATTTTTCACGAGAAAAAACTGTAAACTTTTCTTAGTCAGAATAAAAAATGTCTCAACCTTATAACATGTTATAGTTGGGAGTACTTTTTCCACAATATTTGGGTAATTCAAACGCTATATATTTTAATTCCAAAAATTTTGTTTATACTCTTTCTTGAAATAATTTGATTGTGAAAGCACTATTTTCATCGTATTTTCAAAATTCGACTCGTATTTTTATTGCTTAGACTCCATTAGTTTTTTTTATTTTTGTTAAAGACATATTGAGACGATATGCAACTACAAAGAAACAAGCACCAAACTTGTCCAATTTATGGTCAAAGATGAATATTTGGCATTGTTATATTAGACATATGTGTAACTATCAGATTTTATCTAAAATTTTAATGTAAAACAACACATATTATCAAAACAAAATATCAAAATTGTTAAAAGAATAAGATTTACTTATAACTGAAGTGAATCGAATTAGTTATAATATGGTATCTACCGTCAAAAAAATTATAAAATTCGTCTAAAAAAATACACTTTATTACAAGAAAACGGCCCGGCCGATTTTTACTAAAAACTAATCAGCTCGATTTCCAACCAATATCTTTTGAACGGTTTTTGAATTTTCTCATCGAGATACATCGAATGGCTTTTCAATTTTTGAAACCGGTCCAGCCGTTTTTGAGAAAACGTCGATTTACGACAAAAAATCTGTTTACGCACACACACACACACATGCTTTTTACAAATTTGGTCTCATTCGATTCAGAATGACTTGAAACGTCGAGAAAACATAAAATTTGCGAATCGGATTTCTTGATGAAAACATAAACTTCTCCTTCGGGAAGTTAATAAATAAAGATTTATAAAAACCATTAATATATCTCAATGAATTTCGAATTGAAACATTGGTATAAGGTGAATCTTGAAGTCTTCAATGTGAATCAAATGGCTTTACAATTCTTGAAATCGGTCCAGCCGTTTCTGAGAAAACGTCGATTTACGGCAAAAAATCTGTTCACGCACACACACACATACTTTTTCCAAATTTGGTCTCATTCGATTCAGAATGAATTGAAACGTCGAGAAAACATAAAATTAGCGAATCGGATTTCTTGATGAAAACAAACTTCTCCTTCGGGAAGTTAATAATTTTGATAATTGAAAGTTCTCAAATCTTCTTATATATCGACTTTTTTTTACAACTACTGTTCCGAAATAAGTATCATTTTCATGTGAATTTCATATTTGAATCTAAATACTAAACTTACTAAGGTTACGTTAGTTTCTATAACAACAAGTTACAGATTTTTCCATTTTCAAACAAATCTTAGCAAGACAAAGTCCTTTATCAACAAAAATGAATTGATAGTTGTTAGCAATAAGAATAAATTTCTTAAACGCTTACCTCTTTTCTGTTTGGAATTCCAGCGCTAGGATCAACGAGACCTTTTGAGTTGCAAACGGGGAAGGGCACACACATAGTATTCGGTGGTCCACATTGGCTGGCTTGGTCGTATGTGACTGTAACCGCAGCCCCATTAACAATTGGAGCGGATTCGCGTTCAACAGCGCAACACACTTGAGAAGGTGAATCACAGAACGGAACCTAAAATAGATAATTTATAATTAATTAAAATATATAAGCTATGATTGATAACTGGATAAAATGAATTTTGAAACTATTGAACGTTTTTGCAGTGATGGTGTTTTTTGCTGAAGTGACATAGCTATACTAGTCCAGTCATTATAGTAAGTTCACCTCGGAACTTGAGATACCCAGCTGCAAGCTTGTAAATACACTCTAAAAATTGTCTCAAAACCTACATATGGTAGGGTGTACGTACCATATGTAGGTTTTGAGACAACTTTTAGGGTGTCAATATACAAGTATTTACAGACTTACAGCTGGGTATATCGAATTCCGAGGTATTCTTACTGTAATGACTGGACTAATTTATGCTAACTAAATGACTAATCTACGACCAATGTCACTCCAATTTGTCCAATTTGTTATAAAAATTATTTTAAGATTTTCCAATCATTACAAATAAAAATGGTTATGAATTAAAAATTACATTTTACTAAAAATTAAAAGTAAATTTCTCAATTTAAGTCAGAGTTATAAATATTGAACTAAACCGTACACATAGGTCACTAAGTAGATGTCGCCTATGGGCAAAAGGGTTAAATAAATATGTATTATCTAATGTAAATGAAGAAATTAAAATGTCAGTTCATTTTGGGAAAAAGTGATAATGTCAATATATGTTCTAATATAACATCTAATAATCTAAATATTAATTTTCCTGAATACATTGCCATAGTGACATTAATCCATTTGCTAATATGTCACTGTGCATCGCTTTTACAAATGACCTCAAAAATATATTCTATTCAAACTAATTTACAAATAATCACAAAAACATTCTGTTTAAGAAATATTTTTATAATAACTTATTATTAGTAGATTTGGATTCGCTCATTTATTGAATATTTAAGTAATATACACATGTTTGAATATTATTTTAAGATTCTTTCCGATGTGTGTATATAATCAATTAAATTCAAATATATGTAGCTATTTAGTTAGAAATTTCAACGTATTTTTTTTATAAACTTATTATTGCAATATCCAATCAATATCTTCCAAACGAACTTATAATATTGGCAATTGTATTAATTTAAGCTCACAATTATTCGTGCATAGAATTATAGAGGCGCATTATTGAATTTTTGTTCCGATATGAGTATTATGGTGTATTAGATCATATACTTTATCTATTTGTTTGCAGTATTTTGCTAATTTTAAAAGACTCAATAAATCGTTTTACAAAACTAATCAACTCCTAGTCGAGTTTTATCGAATAGCTTTGTTAAATTCAAAATCGGTTCAGCCGTTCTTAGAAAAGCTTCAGAAATCAACTCACATACACATATACATATGAACACGGGGTTTTCTAATATTGCCTAGGCACATATACTTTTACCAATTTTAGTCTCAAAATGATTCAATATGACTTAAAACTTCGAGAAAACAAGAATTTAGTGGATTTTTCTTGACCAAACAAGGTTTTCCTTCGTAAAGTTAGAGAAAACATAAAATTAATATAATTTTCTGGCAAAAATAAACAATTTCTCTGGGAAGCTATTAAAACAAATGATTGCCAGTTGGAAGGTCTATTTAAAAATCATTTGTTATTTACATTGGAATGCTTTTTATAGCCAAAACTATAATTGTGTTTTATGTAAAAACATTTTACGAGTATCTAAACTTTTAAATGACTTTTTTGTCCAACAAGAACTTCTACAATTAATATGCAATTTAAAAATTAAATCTACTTTGGCAAGCCATCAGTTGTTAATACTAAATATATTAAAATGAAGTATAATTTGAATATGAGTGAGTATGTAAAAGCATACATGCACTCGATATATATATATATATATATATATGTATATATATATATATACGAGGTCTGTTCAAAAAGTTCCCGGAATTTTCGTTTTTTCAAAAAAATATTTATTTATTCGTCTACATTAATGTGGTCCCCTTCAAAGTAGTCCCCCCCAGATATAATACACTTATGCCAGCGTTTTTTCCAATTTTCGAAGCACCCTTGATATTCACTTTTTGATATGTCCTTGAGCACTCTCAGCGATTTTCTTCAATCGAGGAAAACCGCCGTCCTTTCATGGGTCTCTTCAACTTTGGGAATAGGAACAAGTCACACGGAGCCATATCTGGTGAATTTTTGCACTTTGCAACACTTTATTTCATTTTTTACGCAAAATTTAATACAAATTCTTTGACTTTTCAATTCTTCCATTGTAAAAATCGCCGAGCTCAGAAAAACACGTCGAACCTTAGCGACTACCACAGACAAAGTAAACAGTGAATATAGCTGAAAATTTCACTTTAGGGGCATGTATACCAACACAATAAAAAAAAAATTTTGACAATCAGACACTCCAGACCCGCGAAATTTAATTATTAGTAATTCCGGGTACTTTTTGAACACACCTCGTATATATATATATATATATATATATATATATATATATATATGCTATAACATGTATATCTTATGTGAGTATAATATCATAACAAAATCAAAATTTACGCCAAGACAATAATTTTTTGGTTTCAAGCATTATATTAATCAACCAAATATCAATCTTCAGGTGATAATAAAATTTATATCAAAAACTGATCTCTTCGACTCCGTATCGATATATAATTATAATTTTATACTCAACAGGTTGTTCTTGAGTTTATATATATAGCTTGACACAGGAAATAAGGTTGAAGGACTCCGGTTTCGTGTGTGCTACTGAAGATGACCTTTTTTCTCATCAAACGTAATCGTTATAAATCTTCACTAATCTCGCACGGACGCCTAACGACATCCGTTACGGTGCGAAAAATTTATGGACTTGTTCTTTTGTTAATGCTGATTCTAATGACTTTAATTTGCTTGAAATCAATACTACTTTGCGTGTTCTATTCGTTTCGAGGTAGTTTTCTTAAATTTAAACCGAATGTTCGATGTCACAGGAAATAATTATACTAAATGTTATTGAGTGTTGATGAGGTCATAAATTATAGGTTGAAGATGATTAGGTATTGGGCAACTATAGACCTATATCATTATTATGCCAATGTTTAATTTTATTCTGCATTACTCAATAATACTTAGTTATTAAGTGTAATAAAATTTTAGTTTAGTGTAATAAAATTGTAATTAAAGTTTAGTTTTAGTTTATTTCTACTCAGTTTGCTAATAATTTTATAATTGCAAATAAAACATTTTAAACAAAACAAAATGATAAACAATAATTATTTCTAAGCTAATTTTAAGTTAAGCGACAATCAGCTGATTTAATTTAAGCTATATGTGGCTAAAATTTATTGTTTTTAAATGTTATTATCCTTCTTTAATGATTATATGTTCTATTATTGTAGCTATGACTAGATGACACTAATCTATTATATGATTATTGGTATGAATGAAAGTATGGATCTAGAACAGATTACTATGGATAGATGATAATGATAAAGGTAGCTAATGTACAATGCTATATATGGAGACCATACGTGCATAGAAAAAATTAATGTAAATATAGTTATTAATCGAATAAAAAGATCAGTGTGTTTCGATAAAAACGTCAAGACTTAATAATTGAATATATTTTAAATGCACGTGTAGGAGCATGATTTTCGTTGGTAATTGCCACAAAATAAATCAAGATCGTTTGAAAAATGTTTATTTAATTAAAGTTTAAAATTATTAAAGTTTTTTTAATTATTATTGTATGATTATTGCGATAAAATGAAGTATAATATGGATACAATAATATTCTTTAAAATTGCGTTATAATATGATTTTTGACATTACTATAGCATTTAGCCACTAACTTTTATCGTAGTTTACTTTGACTAAAATCTATTAAATGATTTTTGTTACTTATTGATTTTTATAGATTTAGAACTATAGTCGTAGTCATGAAAAATAGTCCAAATTTGGCATATAAATCTTTGACCCATTTAGTTTGCAATATTTGAAAAAAAAAACATATTCTCAAATCTTAATATATTTAGAATATATTAATGCAGCATATGCCGGAATAAAAGTAAATAGTTGTAAATGTCATTTGACCAAAGCTATAATTCACATTGATTGTGACGATGTTAATTTGTTAATATATTATTTTTTGATGCTTCAAGTATAATTAAATCGTTAGCATAATATACGGTTAGAGAATATCTCAGAAAAAAATGCGACGCTGCAAAAGATGTAAAGTATAACTATTTTTAACTAAAATCCTCAATACAAATAATAAAATATGTTTGATTCCATTATCTGACTAAAAGCTTCCATAATTGTTTAAGCACATGACCACGAATCAATAATCACATGTATTCGACAAAGATGAATCTGACATCACTTGCGAAAGAACCTTGAAATATTCATATTTCATTTCCTATAAATATTTTATTTATGCAAATTTTAGCTTAATTATTTGTTAATGATATATTTATGTCTGTCAAAATTACTAAATATGTGTTTTAATACTTTAATTCATAATTTTAACTAGCATATTAATCATTTAACTACTTGCTGCTAGTGAAATTACAACTTGAAGTTTGTATTTGTATAATATATAGATAACAATTTATGGATATCAATAATATCCAATATATAATTCCATCAATTATTTACAACATTGTAAATTCATATCGAAATAAACAACCTAATAAATTTCACCACAACCTTAAAATTAGCATAATCTATCTTCGAATACAAAGAATCAATATTGTGCAATTAAAAAGACGAAATAAATAATTTGACATTGTGTAACACGGAAAACTTATCGTAAATTGCCGCTCATCGCACCGCTATCAAATAATTCTCAAAACCATAACCTACGTAAGTATGAATAATTCAATCGCCGAATATGATTTTTATATAACGCCAGTAAATAACTTCCAATCAAGTAGAGTTTATATGGAGGCGATGGGTTATATAATAAAAATGCCGCGAGATCGACCCGAATGTGCGGTAAATCCGAGAGCTGGAATAAGCTTTATGAAATCGAGATAATATT